CTTTTACCCACCCCCACACCCAAGCCCTGTCACGACATGGGCTGCTTTCAGCACAGCCAACCCATTTTCACACACTTACGGCCCCCATTATCAGCTGTACTTTCTACCAGGCTTACTTTCATCCATCCCTTTGTTTACTTAACTGTCTTTCTCTCTCTCTTGGCTCCACCTATCAGCTAACCCCACTCCCCATGACCACCACCACCACTGTCTTCAACATAAATAACACCTTTTCCTAGCTACTACTAGTTCTGAACAAGGGTCGCTGGACTCTGCTTTTTCCCCACACGTGCTGCCAGACTTGCTGAATTTCTCCAGCAATTTCTCTTTCTGTTGAGGTTTGGAGGAATCCACCAACATTTAAGTGTCTGGTGCTGGCTGTGGCAAAGGTCTGTCTGTCTCCTTGAACAGGTTAGCAGCAGCCATGGAAAGGCAGGCCCAGTTGAACAGATATGGGCTGCTGGAAATGTATACAGATCTGCACTTTGTCACTTTAGTCATTGTCTCTCTATCAATGGCAAGGTGAGAGGGGCTGACGAACCTGGATCTCACTCCAGGTGCCCCTTCCTCTCAAGGAGACATGGTGATGCCAGCAGACATGCAGAAAGATGTGAAACCACACATATGCCTTCCAGAGATCTCTTTTCAAGACACATCTTGTGAAGGTCCTTGACTCCATTTATGCTCCACCCTTGTGCCGAATTTGTGTGTGTGACTGAAGTGTTCATTCATGACCACACACTACTCTGGAGTCAAAGGCTCATTCTACCTATGTGTCTTGCACAGGAGCATGCATTTATTCAAAGATGGCCATGATGTCCAATACCTCATTGCACTTTGTTCTGGCTGGGGAATAGTTCTGACTGTGAAAATTTCAATGTTGTAATGAAATGAATTGAAGCACTGTGTGCTCATTTAGCAGTGTATGAAAAATTGTCTGTGCTGAATGCAGAATGACGCTGAGTGGACGAGAAGGGTTTCTGTCCGGATGCCTCTCAAACTGATGATGGCCATGGCACATCTCAGAAAAACGATCATGAAGGTGTTCATGAAGAAGCTAAAATTACTTTGCACCATGCAAAATATTAGAACCTGGTCTGAATTATTATTAATCTTTCCCCAATACCTATCAGAATCAATAATGTTTCTGAATGTAGGAGCAGGAGCTGTTGCAAAGTATTCAAACAGTTGTGCTGGCAACTTTTATTGCACAACAGGCTAAGTAAAGAACAGAGACGACAAGGTGCAGAGCTGGATGAACACAGCAGGCCAAGCAGCATCATAGGAGCAAAAAGGCTGACGTTTCGGGCCTAGACCCTTCATCAGAAATGGGGGAGGGGAAGGGGGTTCTGAAATAAATAGGGACAGAGGGGGAGGGGGATAGAAGATGGATAGAGGAGAAGATAGGTGGAGAGGAAACAGACAGGTCGAAGAGGCGGGGATGGAGCCAGTAAAGGTGAGTGTAGGTGGGGAGTTAGGGAGGGGATAGGTCAGTCCAGGGAGGACGGACAGGTCAAGAGGGCGGGATGAGGTTAGTAGGTAGGAGATGGGGGTGCGGCTTGAGGTGGGAGGAGGGGATAGGTGGAGGAAGGGATAGGTGGGAGGAAGAACAGATTAGGGAGGCGGGGACGAGCTGGGCTGGTTTTGGGATGCGGTGGGGAGGGGAGATTTTGAAGCTTGTGAAATCCACATTGATACCATTGGGCTGCAGGGTTCCCAAGCGGAATATGAGTTGCTGTTCCTGCAACCTTCGGGTGGCATCATTGTGGCACTGCAGGAGGCCCAGGATGGACATGTCGTCTGAGGAATGGGAGGGGGAGTTGAAATGGTTCGCGACAGGGAGGTGCAGTTGTTTATTGCGAACCGAGCGTAGGTGTTCTGCAAAGCGGTCCCCGAGCCTCCGCTTGGTTTCCCCGATGTAGAGGAGGCCACAATGGGTACAGCGGATGCAGTATACCACATTGGCAGATGTGCAGGTGAACATCTGCTTGATGTGGAAAGAAGGGCAGCTTGCCTTTGCAACAACAAATAACTACATCAAGTAACTGATGTGTTTACCCAACTTGTGTCTCTTGAAAGTGTGTATCAATGAAATTCTGTCCAGCTGATGCTGCTTCACTCTAGCACGGCGAGATTTATTTCCCTCCCATTGAATATGCTCATTTTTCTCCTCGAAGAGCTGTTGCTGCTCTCCTAGCTTTTCTAGATCCATGACATCTCCTTTTTACTTCCTTCAGTTGTGTAGAGCACACCATTGCAGGATTATGTGGTCCACTATCTAGAACGTATTGCAGCAACCTTCCAGATTGATCCAAGCATCAGAACCTCATCTTAAGCAGCTCTCTCATCAGTTCCATGGTGGCCTACTGGAAGAGTGGGCTGCATTGTATATTTGTGTTCTGCCTTGACGAGGGGTTTCTTCAAAGGACTTGTCAGCTATAGTTGGAGGGCTGTCTCTTGTCTCCAAGTAAGCCATCCTTTTGTGGCATTAGCTCTTTGAATGAGGCTGGAACTTGAAAGTTATTAAGAATACAGGCACCATGGCAACTACCAGGAAACTTCATGTAGACCTCTAAGATATGTTGACAATGAGAGCAGATGAGTTGGATGTTGATGGAGTAGAACCCTTGTCTACTTATGGCACACTCAGTAGAAAGTGTGTAGTGCCCTGCACCTGGGTGAAGCCAGTGGTCTTTACAAATCCCACTGCACAAGCTGTGGTACTGAAGTTGTCAAGGGGTACAGAAGTGAAGTGGGGATAATTTGCATAACTGGATTTTGTAATATCCTTGCTACATTTGTGGTTGAGGATTCAGAGATTCCATATGTCCCCAGTGAATGCTTGAAACTAGCTGCTTGAGTAAACGTTTGAGCACTGCTATCATGTTGACAGCCATTGGGATGGGATGGTCACCCATTCTATCACAGCACAAGTTCTGTTTCTGTTGATGATATAGGAGCCTGAGATGCATCCTGCACAGATGGTTGAGATGGGTTATGTGCACAAAGCAACCTGACAACAGCATTACACTGTAGGGCGTCGCTGACCTCCAAAGTGTAGTAGTGTTCTGACACAAGCCAAGGTCAGCCACAATGTGGTGAGGTTTTGCTTTGCTGATGCCTACTTCCATGGATGAAGGATGGAGGTGCTGTCTACCCCTGGAGCATGCCCTAAGAATTTGGGGGATGATGGTCACTGTGGAGGCCTGGAGACCATGCTGGCGAGCTGCAGCCGCCAGGCAACCACAAAGACTTTCAAATTGGGCATTGATGCCGTCTAGTTCCTCATCAATATCTGGGAGAATAGCGATTTGGATAAAATTGAGGTGAAGTTAGCTAGTGTGAGATGGTAATACATGCAAATAGGGCCCTCGCAGCATACTAGCAAGATCCACATCTAGTTGTTGAAACCTAAAAGGGAAAATCAGCCTTTAATTTTCTCGGTTGAGAATTTCATTTTTTCATTGTGAATTTGCCTGAATTTCTCACCATTGCCCCATTGCTAAAGGGCTAGGAACATTCAGTTCAATATTTTTGAGGATGTTGACCTGTTAACAGAAAAGATCATAAAACTGAAACATTAACTGTGTACTACCTTGACTGATTCACGGACATGAAGCAAGGCGACCTACCAGATAAGCAGATTGAGAGATCTTCAGTGACCCACACAGACTTCAAATGAAGAAGTGGTAGACAGGAAATACCAACTACAGTTAAATCATTGTACAAGAAGAAAATAAGTTTTGGATATGTACATGAGATTAAGAGTGTAATATAAAATAAAATAATAGGAAAACTTTAAAAATGTGTGGCATTATTTTCCTCTGAAGGACAGAATTTACATTTATAAAACAAAATTGTCAGTCATAGTACGGTATTATGTCCTTACTACATCAGCAGCTAAAGATAGCACATCTTAAATAAAGTACTTGTGGTGCAGTTTTAAAATTCCTTTGGAAAAGTCACCACTAGTCACGACCTATCCAGATGACACAGTATTTGACAAAATGTACTGTATAATAATGTTCAGTGCAGAATTTTACTCTAACATGGGTTTGCTTATCTTTTCTCCGACATCTGTTTTCTGGTGATTTTGATATACTGTACTTCAAAATAAATTGAGCAGTGCTTTCACTTCTTTCATGTCATCATTGGCCTGAATGTTTCATTAAAATGTTAATTCTAAGGCTTGCCTGACACTTCAGTCTGTATTAAATTGTTTTCAAAAACCGTTCCACATTTATGACGGTTAATTTTATTTTGTCTACTATTGGCATCTCAGTTTGGTGTATTTCTGTAGATATGGTTCTCACTATTTTTTAAAAAAGTAGCATTGTTTGAAAATTGCTTACTTACTGTCAAACTTTTGAACAATGAAAATGTACTGAGAAGATACTGATTCTTAATTGGAAGTGTATCTAAATAGTAAAGGCCTTCTTGCTGTCACACAGTTATGTGCTCCTGATATTTTTTGCATCCTGTCAGATATGATACTGTGAAAACTATTGGACTGTACAGGACATGCTATTTCAAATTTTACTGTGTGAAAATATTCCAGAATACTCCTTCGAAGCAGCTTGCTTGTCTGTGTCTGTATTCTGTACTTGAAAATAAATTAATAAAATGAATTCAGCACTGATTTTAATTTATTTGATATTGTCTGGGGCCCAATCATGTCATTGAAAAGAGTTACAGCCAGGCTTGTTCTTTGTGAATTTATTGGTGCTCTGAAATGCCTCTCCATTTGTATTTTGGTTGTTGCCATTCATGTCTGCTTCTGTTTGCTTCCACATGAATTATTTCAACAGATATTCTGCTTTGAAAGCTATGTTTTGAATTACTGCAAACTAAATTACAAATAACTTTTGACAACTGCACAGACTCTGCAGTTTATCTCAGTCTATTGCCAGATGTTTGGATACATAATTATTTCTGATGTACACATTTGTATCTTAACCTGCTTACCTGTTACAGCAGTCTTCCCTTGTTTTGTATTGCAGAGTTCCTATGGATATGGTGATTTATTTAGTGATACCTGGAAAGTATTTGCTGATCACAATATTATACATTTGAAGACATTTGACTTTAAAAGGGTATGGAACATTTTCATACTTTTATAACTATAAGTTATGCATGTAAAACATTTTCTGTTTACGCACCATTATTTTAATTCTTTTGTCTGCGGTAATTTAGGTATGCTTCAAGGAAGTGGTCTTTTCTCTACTCCCTCGCATGCGTTATGGATTGTTTTATAATACCCCTTTGGTAAGTGCATTTCATCCATTGGAAATTATTCATTTGTGTGTTTAAAAAAATGTTCATTTCATACATAATGAAATCACTACACGAACATTAACACTGAGTTTTTAACCCCTTTGCTGAATGCTGTCATAATTTGATGAACAGAAGCTGTCACCTAAATTCTTTAAGAATGATTAATTTTCAGTTATGTACAGTATTATAAAATGGTTTCTGAGAGAAATGCATTTCTTTTGAGTGTAAACAAGCAACGATGGAGAGGTTCCAATATACCAGTTCTTATCTGAACACCATCACAGGCCGCATGTTGTACATCCCTCGTCTAAAACATACCTAATTAATTTTTACTCTGAAAAGATGGCTGTAAAATGGGAGTTCCTTTTCTTGCATTGTCAGAATGAGCAACCAAATTTGCTGCAGTTTTTAAATAGGTCAAAATATCCAAATGATATTGTGATTTTGAAGCGTGGCATAATGGGATTTTGTTCTGTTCTGTTACTGAGACTACAAATTGTACATAGGTTAGCTGGCAATTTTGTTTCCTTGACTATGAATTCAGCTAACAAATACTTTCATATTCTATTTATATTAGTTATCCAGTTTTATATATTGGAAAGAACAGGAACACCTGTAACTGAGAAATATCCAATGCTGTTAACTGTAACTATTGGCACTTGTCATTTTGTGATGTTAACAGATAATGTTATAATGAGTAAGTGATTTAAGGCCTGGAATTATTTCAACAGATTTCACGCAGTCTGCCTCTTAGGTGTGTGGAACCTGATGGATGAAATTTAAAAGCAAATTATTGAGGATGCTGGAAATCTGAAATAATCCAGAAAATTATGGAAATACTCAGCAGGTCTGGCAGCATCTGAGGAGAGAAAGAGTTAATGTTTCTGGTCAATAAGTTTTCATCAGAACTGAAATATGTATTGAGAATATGTGCCATGTTTTTGTATAACATTTATCAATTAAGCAATTGGCCTCCTAGAACAGTGTACAAATGCTTTCTTTGCTTGTAAATAACAGGTACCTGACTGCTTTAGCACGGGAATGTTCAGAGCATTTTCACAACATGTCCTGTTTAGACTAAGTATTACTCAAGAACAGCCACAGGTAAGAGTGTTACTGTAGAATGCTCCGTTACCCTATCTATTTGGCATTCACTTTCAACTTTAGAATGGTATCACAGGCATAGACCGCTCATTCCAGTGTAAGAATTTGCAAATAGTCAATGGCTGTCTGTCTGAAGTAGGATAAGGTCTGTGCTTTCCTGAGTGCTTATTAACAGGTTTTATTAAACAGAAGTATCTACAAGGGGTTGTAAGCAAGGATATTTTCAAAATCCTAGAGACTCTAGCTCCAGTACCATGTGATTTAACGTCACTATGACATAACCCCTTTCTCACATGCTCAGTTGTTACTCTTAAGAGCTAGGAGCAGGAGTGGGCAATTTAGCTCCTTCAGCCTGCTCGGCCATTCAATTCAATCATGGCTGATCATTGACTTCAGTGCCACTTTCCCATGTGATCTCCATAGCCCTTGATGTCATTAGTTTCCAGAAACTTAATGATTTCTATCCTGAACTTGCTCAATGACTAGGTTTCCACAGCCCTCCAGTAGAGAATTCCAATGATCCACCACCCTCTGAAGAAATTCCTCCTCTTTCAGTCGTAAGTGGCGTATTCCTTTTCCTGAGGTTATATCTCCTAGTTTCTGACCAACCAGCCAAGGGAAGCACCTTATCAGCATCCACCCTGTAATGACGTTACTAACGCTTTACTCCATGCTGTTAACCAGTAAGGCTTATTCTGCGATATCCAAATCAGCTGCTGCCCAGCCTTATTTCTCAAGCTTCATTCAAAATCCTCTCTCTCAAAACAATTCGTCCACACCCTAAAACCTTCACATGTTGCATCCTCACTCTCTCTGCATGTCTTCAGAGACTGATTTAAGGAGAATTGTGATCTGGATGTTGCGATCGGCCTCTGTACTCATGCTGCAGGGAGGGATGGTCTTGGTTATGAAACCCGTTCCATAATGTGCTCAGGTGATGTTTTTGATTCATTGAGGAAATAGACTGCATTATTATTTGTCATTGTTTTTTGGATTGTTGTTTGAAATTAGTTGAGGCTTAAACTCAAACTCAGCCAATCAACCAATTAGGTTTTCTCTGTTACTTAGGATGCCATCCACATTTACAGAGGAATTGCCTCTTCAGACAGTCTGACATGGCTTTTGAGGACATGGGAAAATCAGTAACTTTGAATTTAGCCGTGACACAGAAGATAAACTCTGTCTTTTCAGCTTTAAAATGGCCTATTCATCTCAACGAAATGGGAAATACTTTTTCAGAATGATTAAATAAATTTATATTGTCATTAGATAATTTTTCTGAAATTTCTAAATGATAATTTTGGATATTTATTTTAATATTTGGAATCTTGCTGTATGCCGAATAATTTTATCTTTCTTTTATCAAGATTGGGAAAATTCGTGTTACACTTCTGGTTCGTAGTACTCAATATCGCAGAATTTTAAATCAAGATGAGGTGAGTAGTAAAAGGAAACAATTATTATGTGTTTTCTAAGATTTAACAATGAGCATGGAATCTTGTTGTCCTTATCTGTTAATGGGTTACTGATCTTTTTTTGATTTTAGAAATGTTTTGCAGTGCTTTTCTTAAAATAAGATATCCACTTGCTGCTTAGTGACTGAATGCATTGTCTGCTTTGTTTTCAGGTTCTTAAGGTAGACTTAGATAAAAAGGCCTTGGAGACATATCAGATTCTCTGAAAATTGCTACCTTCCCTTTTTCCTATTTCCTGTATCTAACTGTTCCTTAATAAATCTAGTGCCATTATTACAACTACCTCTTCTTTCAATGCCTAACTCTCTAGGTGAATATCACCTTCAGAAACATTTCCTTGTATCTGTCGTAAAGTTCTTTTTCAGAACCTTCAGTCAGTGCTGCCTTATCATGTTGCCTGTATTGTTTTAGCTTTAATTTCTCTTGCTTGATGCTATCTTTGTATTTGTTTAAGGTTGCTTCTGCCTCCAAGGCTTTGTTTTTCCAGATGAGGAATCCTAATTTCTCAAACAATTCCTCAGGGAGTTCAAATGAAGGATCATAATATCAATCATAAGATGTAAAAACAGAGGTAGGCCGTTCAGCCCAGTGAGTGTGCTCCCCAATTCACTGAGATCATGGCTGATCTGATAACCGTCACCTCCAGCTGCCTTCCTTTTCCCCATATAACCCTTGATACCCTTACTGGTTAAAAATCTGTTTATCTCAACCTTGATAGCTCTCTGTGGTAATGAATTCCACAGATTCACTACCCTCTATGACAAGGCATTCCTCTTCATCTCTGTCTTAAATGTGTGACCTCTTCCTTTGAGATTACACCCTCTGATCCTCTAGTCTCCAAGAGGGAGAACAACTTTTCCGCATCTATCTTGTCAATTCCTCTAATAATCCTCCAGCACCTCATATACCACTTAGGAAACCTGCAGCCCAATGGCCTCAATGTGAACTTCACAGGCTTCAAAATCTCCCCACCCCCGACCTCATCCCAAGACCGGCCCATTTCGTCCCTGCCTCCATGACCTGTCAGTCTTTTCTCCCACCTGTCCGCTCCTCCCACCTCACTGACCAACTCCCAACCCCACTTCCTACCTACTAGCCTCACCCCCGCCTCCTTGACCTGTCCTCCTTCCCTCCCACCTACCCGCCCCTCTCTCCCCACTGACCAACCCCTATCCCAACTCCCTACCTATACTCACCTTTACTGGCTTCATCCCTGCCTCCCTGACCTGTCCAACTTCTCTCCACCTATCTGCTCCACTATCCACCTGCTTTCACAGCCTGCCCCCCTCTCTATTTATTTCAGAGCCTTCTTCCCCTCCCCCATTTCTGAAGAAGGGTACAGACCCAAAATGTCAGCTTTCCTGCTCCTTTGATGCTGCCTGGCCTGCTGTGTTCATCCAGCCCTACACCTTGTTATCTCAGACTCCAGCATCGGCAATTCCTACTATCTCTAACATACAGTGAGATTGTGATTCCATGTTAGTTGGTTGTGGTCCAATACAGGCATCTCACTCAAGTATTTCCACATTGTTGAACTCCACTGTGCCAATTTGTCATTATTCAATTCATGTCCATTCTACCACTCAAACTCTCTTAGCCTACTTATCCTTTATAGTTAAATGTTTCATGTAATTGGAGTTCACACTCTCAACATATAATGGCCACCTAAAAGGGAAAAAAAATGCTGTACGGTGAAAATATGCCTCTTCTAAATGTGTGTTGTCTTTCTTTATTGAATTATTTCCATGCAAGCTTCATTTTGTTTCTGATTGTTGAATATGTAACGCTAAATCTTACCAAAAATTAGATATGTCAGTTGCAAGGAGTTTCATGAACGGTTTCTCTCCATGAGCTCTAGTGAGTTAATTCACACAATTCTCCGCAGCTTACATCATTCTGTAAGCACCAGGTCTCCATGGCACCATGTGTTCAACAATGGTTGAAGTACTTGACCCTGCCATTTGACACTTGAAGAATCTCGGTTTTCCAAATTTACCGTAACTTCCCTACAAATTCACCATTGCCCATGTCATTCAGAGGCTTGGAAAATTCGTTGCATAGTTTTCTGATGATTGAGGTTAAACTAATGGGACAGTGGTCGTGGAACACGAATGATCTTGTTTATATTTCTTGTTCATTTTCTGCATCCTCCTATTGACTGTTTCAAACTGCTTAGCACGTCTTTACTTTTGTATCATTGAGTATCTTCAGTCCTTTGTACTGAATTGGTTAATCTGAGTAATGACATTGAAGTCATAAAGTGTAACAATTTGGTCACAATACTTGTGAGCTAGTGTGGGAAATAATAATGCGTGTTCCTCACTTCTGGTTTAACCAGTAACTGTTGGTGAAACGTTTGTGATGTCAGTTCAGGAAAACAGTAGGCTTCACAGTGATGTTGTTCACAATTAAGAAAATTCACAATTAAGAAAAATACGCTGCAATCAAACTCTGCTTCCTACATTATTGTTGCTAAATAATAACAGTAATAAAATGCAAAGTATAAGGACAAAATGCATGATTTTAAAAGGGGCTAAATTGACTAATTATTTTTGAAATATAATTGTGTTTACTCCCCGTGTGCAACACCATGCTGGTTAACTCATTATAAAGAACATACGAAGACTTGAATAGAAGTTGGATTTACATTGTGTCCTGTATGAGTTATTTTCCCTGTCATAATTTGATAGCATTTCTGATATAAAAACCCTCTTCATTACCATGAGCGATATCATGGGAGATCTCCTCATTATATAACAATAGCTGTGTTTAATTTTTTGAGCTGTATTTATTGCTCATAAATTGTAGAAAGCTTTTTCTTAGTTCCTAAATTGTGTTAAACGCTTAATAAAAGTAAACTGCTAAATAAATTGTAAGTATTTTCGTTTTGTCCTCAGCTGGTGAAAGCACTGAAGACAGTGACTGTATTTGATGTCAGAGTGGTGGATTACAAGTAAGTGTTAAACAGCTGACAAATGGCGGTTATCGGGCTGAGATTGGGTGCCAAATATTCTCCGTGAAAAGAAGAGAATTTTTCTGTGTAGCCGACAGCCTATTAAAATTACATTAATGGAATTTGCACTTTTCAAGGCCTTGTTTCTCTGCAGCTCTGTTAACACATTAAATGCAAAGAAACAA